GGCAAGCAGGACCACTGAAGCTCATCTCTGGTTTCATGACTTCCAATTTTAATATTTCACAAGGGATGATGCCACATTCTCCAGAAAGCCACAGAAAGTCAATACAAACTCTCTCCATCATGCACATTTCAACAGCAGATAGAGAAACAAAGTCATCATTCAACATCGCTGTTTTGAGAATTGGTTGAAGCATGATTTCAAAGAGGCAACAACTCTGTGGACTGCTTAGAAACGATAGTGGTGAATCAACGATGGTGGTGTGGGCCTCGGGAAAGGGGCAGCCTGCTTCCCATGGAGTGACTGAGGTGCCGCATACAAGGAGAGATTGCAGTCATGAGAGATCCTGCCAACAAGAGCCATACAACTGAGCAAAGTGACAAAAAGAAGACCCCCACTAGCCTTCTCAGGGCCATGCAACCCACCACCAGGCCCGCCCAAAAGACCGACTCTCAGCATGAAAGTCAAATCCTTATGAAATATTTAAATATGCCAAACCCACTGCCATCAACTCCTAGCGACCCTATAAACAAAGGAGAACTGCTCCCTAGGCTTTCTGAGGGTGCCAGTCTTTACAGGGACAGACAGACTCATCTTCAGCCCACAGAGCAACTAGTGGATTCAAACAGCTGTTAGCAGCCTAATGCCTAGCCTCCAGGCTCCTCACAGATCCACAGCGGTACAGAACTCTCCATTGAGACAGAAGATGACCGCTTCTGCCAGGTACCATGCCCTACACTCATGTTTCCATTATTGGAGTCCTAAGAGAAAATACACAATGTTTATGTCATCCATAGAACATGAAAGAGATGCATAAAAATACTAAAGAAATCCAAACAAATACAGCTATGTTTGCTAGTCAAATTCATACAGAGAAAGAAGAAGAAAACTGTAAACATAGATACAGGAAGTCCGTAGATTATAAACAAGTTCCATTCCTTCGTCTTTAAGTTGAATTTGTACATTAAGTCAGAACAGTTAGGCATGGTTCACATCTAACCTCAGTTAGTCAAATATTGGTCATAGTATACAGTGTACCTTTCTATGCATAAGAATATTAAAGAAACACTTCCAAATACACTAAAATATCTTTCATGTTGTTGTTGTTAAGTGCTGTCAAGTCAGTTGCAACTCATAATGATCTTGTATAGGGCATCTGAGGAGCGGCTCGTGAACTTGAAACACCAACCTTGTGGTTCAAGCTGACCTTGTGATACAGTGCTTCTCTTTAACATTGTTGTTGTTGTTGTTAAGTGCTGTTGAGTCAGTTCCAACCCATACCTACCCCATATAGGGTTTGCAAGGAGCAGCTGGTAAGCTTAAACTGCCGACCTTGTGGTTCAAACCGACTTTGCAATCCAGTGTATTAACCCATAGCGCCACACCAGGACATAGTGCAGTAATAGTAATATTATGATGATGTGAACCACAAAGTAGCACCCGTTTGTTATTACAAACCATTGTTGTTGTAGTTAACTGCCTTTGAGTCAGTTTTCAACCCATAGCGACCCTGTCTAGGGTTTCCAAAAGCAGCTGATGAGCTTGAACTGCCAACCTTGTGGTTCAAACTGACATTGTAGTCCCGGTGCATTAACCCACAGCGCCACACCAGGACTCCATTTTTAATATAACAAGCTTTCTGGAGTTGATTTGTAACCCAGGAACTGTTTTCAAAATAACTGTATAGCAAGCTTCCAGAGCACAGTGCCCTCGCAAGGCCTTCATTGCAGAAAGTACTGAGAGACTAACTCACAGATGGGATCCACACAGTGTAAATGGAATGAAGTGGGACCTTCATGTCTGCCTCATGTATTATATGCAGTCCCTTGAGGATTAAACATTTGGCATACTAACTGAAAGTTTGGCAGTTTGAGCCCACCCAGAGGCACTCGGAAGAAAGGTTTGATGATCTGCTTTCCCAGCCTTGAAAACCCAGGGTACAGTTTTACCCTGAAACGAATGGAGTTGCCATGAGTCAGAACCAATTCAATCGCAGTTGGCTTGTTTTTTTTATATGATATTACTAAGCTATCCACATTTAAAAAGATAATCCAAAACAACTTACAGATAAAAAAAAAAAAATCTAAAATCACCAAATCTTGTGCAAGACAGAGAAAGGAGGTTTTAAATAACTTTAAAAATAACATTGGTAACTGAAACAAATGTGCTCCCTTGACCATAGTTCAAGATCAAGTTTCATTCCTGGTACCAAGTGACTTTTCGGAAACTTCTGGGGTCATTCATAAGGAGAGAAAGCCTGGATGCCCCCTACCCCTGCTCCCTGAGATGAGGAACTGAAATCAACTTTTGTGGTCAGGCCAAATTCAGCTTTTGAGAAATCCCTTATTTTAAACATCCCTATGCATGTAATTTCTTCATCTGCTTTCAGAGTTATTTTATAATTTACGTTAGAAAAACATGGGATGGATATTTACCATGCCAGAGTCCTTTAGTGAAATCATTTCACTACAACAGAAACTGCCTTGAGTGAACAATCTTAACATTGAGTGGATTTGGGTATTTATTGACTATATTATTATTATTACTTTTAACATGTCATGGAAATATGTATCTGCGCGGCTGGGCTTTCGTCTCAAGGAGTCCCTTTTCTGAACTCTATTCTCAGTGTTTGCTATACTGCTGCTATTTTCCTGACACTTTGATCATGCTCCAAACCAGGAGATGGTGCAAGTAGAGACAAATGAATGATTTTCATTGATAGGTTTGATTGTTTTTCTTCATAAAACAGAGAAGACATGATAAAACTGTTTTCTAACTCATTCAAAATAGGCCAGAGGCTATTTTATAGCCATATGCCAGAGATGCATAGAGTTTTGTTGTCGTTCCTTAAGTCCCTACGGTTGACACTTTCTTTCCAGTGGAATGCAGAATCTAGGTACTTCGGAATCTCTTTTTTCCAGGTGTCTCTTGAACTACTGGGTAGAAATCCATTGTGGGATGGGAGAGACCAAAGAAAGATCCCACCATAAATTCCCCATTCCCATTGGAGAGGGGGGCCTGTTCCTAGTCTGTGGAGAGTGTGACAATAGGGCACACTCGAGGCAGGGATGTCAGGATGGCTGTCCTAGCTCTCCAAGCAAGTTGTGCATAGAGAGTTCATTTCCTCCCAGCAAGATAATGAGGCTGCTCCAAATGGCCCACAAGAACTAGACTGCACAGCAGTGGTAAACTCTAACCTTTTCAAAATTCCTCTCAGTCCCTGGAAGACCTGCCAGCTGGCTTGGCTTTGCTGAATTGCCTCACCCTCCCACCTCCCTGGGCCACTGAAGAGGCCCATTGGTAAACAAAGCTGAGGTGCAGGCTGCCCAGTTGTCCCTGGGCACAGCCCCTACTACCAGGCTCCCAATGATGGTGTGCATAGCTCCTGAGATGTGGCACTTTCGTTGTTGTTAAGTGTTGTTGAGTTGGTTCCAACCCATAGCGACCCTGTATAGGGTTTCCAAGGTGCGACTGATGAACTTAAACTGCTGACTTTGCTGTTCAAACCGACTTTGCAGTCCAGTGCATTAACCCACAGTGCCATACCAGGACTCCAGATGGGTGGGTAGGGAGCCTCTATTGGAATTTCCTGTGGATGCTAAAGAAAGTTGCAATCTCCCCTTCCCCCACTCATTTGCATGGCATCTTTTCCAAGTCAGACATTTGCTGCTTTCCAGAAAGCTATTATCAATAAAAAGGCTAGCGGAGGGGCCTGCTCCAGGAGGCGGAGATAAAGACATCGCTGTGGGCTAAGATCAGCGTATTGACATCACCTAGTTACCTTTCTGTGCGGTCCCATAGGACACTTCCTACGGTTAAACACATGGCTTATCAAGTATTTCTGTGTCCTTTTCTTCATGCTTCGAGTGTATTATTCTCCTCATAAATCCAGCTACCTTTTCCTCACTTCTTTTTAGATCAGAGCATAAGGCAATACATTCTAATTGTATAGCATTTACATCCAGACTATTAAGGCTCATCAGTTCTTGCTGCATGTGTATCCTTGGGTCAGTGTGTGTAGGTCACGATACTTCCCTCACTCAGAGGTCTGTCTTGGCAAACGATGGCTGGTCTCCAGCACCATGAATGCCCTTTTAGTAAGACTCCACCTATAGGCATGTGGAGATACGGTGGCTGTAATCCTTTTAAGAGCTCCCACTGCTGTTCCAGCCTGCACCAGACTGTAAATGTGTGCGGCATTTAATAAGGATGCTGCCAAGGGTCCCAAGAAAGCAAGCACCAGTGCTGAGGGGAGAAACAAGGGCATCTCCACCACAAAGAACCAGAAACCTGCAAATGGCAATACACTGCTGCATTTTTCCAAACTTGCTGCCAGAGCGGCCTTTAACATCCCCACCACCCTGCTGTGATCCACCGGCTAAAAACGTTGATTGTTAATTGTCTGACCACTACAGAGCAGCTCGTTTTAATATAGCCATGACATGAATGAGACCCAAGCTCCCCTTTGCCCCTCCCCTGAGGCACCTTGGATCTTGGAGGGAAAAGGGGACACTTAGTTGGCTGTGGTACAATAGGGGCCAGTGTTGAGGTCAGCAATAAATAAGGGGTAACATTGTTTTCCCTGTTGGCAATCCGCAAGCCTTCCTTAAGGATTGAAATAACTTACATTTCTGGAGCAAGCAGCTGAGTAATTGAGAAAGAAGACTCTGTTCCTCTCTTCAACAGAGTCGATCTCTCCTCTCTCCTTCTCTATCTCTCTCTCAGACACACACATGCTTCTCTCTGTGCTCACCCCCAAATTCCTCAACTGCTGCTCTTACTCTAATATGCAGAGCAAGCCAGCTGTACCTCCCTAATTTCCATCCTGAAGAGGGCTAGACTTGTGGATGTGTGTGCATCTCTTCAAGGGCCACTCCAATGGAAACAAAAACCTAGCAAGTAGGGAGCTCGGGGCCCAAACATTTAAATAACCCATGTGACAGAGACAGCAAAGAGACACATGCTCTTCTGCTTCCCTGATGATACAGTTCTTTTACATCCAGGCTCTGAAGATTGTTCAAAGAACTTCACAAGCCCCAACGGAACCATCGAATCTCCTGGCTTCCCCGAGAAGTACCCACACAATTTGGACTGCACCTTTACCATCCTGGCCAAACCCAAGATGGAGATCATCCTTCAGTTCCTGACCTTTGACCTGGAGCATGACCCTTTGCAGGTGGGAGAGGGAGACTGCAAATACGATTGGCTAGACATCTGGGATGGCATTCCACATGGTGAGTCATGTTACTTTCACAGAAAGCCTTCTCAGTAGTTTGTGCTTTGCCTGTAATTGCTTTAGTAACAATTTAAAAAGGAGAACAAAGACTTCAAATCTCCTTAGGGTTCTTATATGGTCCGTGATGACTTTCTCTTCTCAGCCAAGGACGATTTAAAAGCAAAATAAAACAAAACAAAGAAAGCAATATCATTTCTTAGATATCATTCTTTAGAAAAGGGTAGAAAATTGAGTAGATACTTCGGTGAGGATAAACAAACCTATAGATGATGCAGTTTTATATACCAAGTTCTCACGATTGCCACAGAACGTGACTTAGTGGCCAACTCCTATACCTTGACAGAAGACTCTAGAGCTAGGCTGACTGGGCTTGAATCTCGGCTCTGTTTTTTCCAGCTGGGCAGCCTTGAGCAACTTTCTTAACCAATCTGTGTTTTATCTCTAGAAGTTAGCTGCTCTCATCATCATTATTATTACTATAATTCTTTTTAATATTAATACAGCTATAAATGTGGAAAAGGCACTACCCAAGGCCAAAAGGAACCTGTACGTTTCAGGTGGAGACCATCATTACATAAGACATTGGGCTCTGGAAGCGTAGTGGTTACGAATCGGGCTGCGAACCTTAAGGTCAGCGGTTCGAAACTACCAGCCGCTCCGCGGGAGAAAGATGAGGTTTTCTACTCCCGTAAGGATTTACACCCTCGGAAACCCTGTACAGGGTCGCTATGGGTCGGAACCGACTCGATGGCACTTAACAACAACAACAACATAGTTAATATCAGCAGGAACCAATGTTTCACTTTGTAGTGATTCTAAGTATTTTCTAAGCAAGAAAGGGAGACTAGATGTCTAAGCAAGAAGACTAACATCATTTCCTGAGGAAAGCATATGATTTAATCAGAAAACCTGATTAAATCAAACCTGAGACCCAGCTTTGCTTATTTCTTAGCTATGTGAACAAGGAAAGGTCACATGACCTCTCCAAATTTCAATTCTATACTATGATGATACTTTTCCTGTCCAACTCCCAGGGCTGGGAAAACAGAATGAGGCCATGTCAATGAACTTACTTTTTAATGGATAAGAATGACATTAGACTTGTTCTTAACACATATTTTTTTGGTTCTTTTTGTATCAAAGTATACAAAGTGATGATACTCTATTGAATGCGTTGCAGTGGTGGGAGGGGAGAAGGTATTGAATACAGACTTTGACACTTCCCTTTCCTCTGTTCTCTTTCTCTTGCATGTCCAGTTGGCCCCTTGATTGGCAAGTACTGTGGGACCAGGACACCCTCCGAACTCCGTTCTTCTACAGGGATACTCTCACTGACCTTTCACACAGACATGGCGGTGGCCAAGGATGGCTTCTCTGCACGTTTCTACCTGGTTCAGCAAGAACCACTAGAGAGTGAGTTGCCAGTTGGGACCCTCTGTCCTGTCCTTGTATCAGTGCTGTGAGGATGGACGTGTAACGAGAGTCTGACCTCTACTGAGAGAAGGAGATAGTAACGTAACTGAATTAGTAATGGTGTCAGAGTGCAAGGAATGGGAGCCACATCCTCTGTCTAGGTAGAGATGAAGAGAAAAGAAGAGTAACATTATTTCCTGAGGAAAGCATATGATTTCGTCAGAAACCCTGGATTTGAGTAGCAGCTTTGCTTATTTCTTAGCTGTGTGAACAAACAAAGGGTTGCCCATTTCTTTCTTTTTTTAAAATATACGTGTGTATACAAAGACTTAGTTATTCCCAAGGAAAGTTATCCCCATCTCAAACCTCAGTTTTTTTCATCTAAGATTAAAAGGGAAGCCCATTAGGATGATATACATCACTCACTTCTTATGCTAACCTTTTCAAAGTACAGGACCTGTTTTCTACCTCTCCAAGACTCAATGACCATTGTGACAAAACTGAGCAATTTAAAATCTCTCTCTATATATGTATTTTTGGACATTAAACATCTCTGGTCCTGGGAAAGTTTCCCTAGCTTCCTTGGACATTCATGTCATATGTCCACTAAATATGATTTTTGAGCTTCTGCTAGATGGCAGGCACTATGCAAATCACTGGGCAAGTGTGGTTGTGACCCAGTGTCATGGAACTTACATGGGACCATCGAGGTCCTGAGTCACATCTTCAAATCAGGTCCTCATGGATACAGGCTTCAGATGTCCTCGATGTCCATTTAGAATGTTGAAATGACAACTTTGGGGATTAAAGAAGTGCTTTGGCATGACTGGAGTAGGGAGGATTCTGCCTGGATTGTGGGTAGCTCGCCACATGCCTAACTACACACACAGGAGCGTGGCTGGGGTTTGTTCTGGGTATTGCTTTCCTTCTTTTTTCCTCAAAGTTCTCTTGGAGACTGAGTGACAAAAGACGCAGTATTGCAGATCGCACCAGGTTCTGCCAATGGCCTGTTCAGTCCCAGAGCTGAAGAAAAGGCTTGATACCTGAAAAAGATTGCTGGTCCTTATCAGACACAGGCACACACAAATATTGATCAGTGTCCACAGTATCCATGAGAAGGGCAGCAATATAACAAGTGGCACCAGTCTAGAGTAAGTGACTTCTGGGTTTATTTGTCCAGACAGGCGGTGCAGAGGACTAGAGAGTGACATGCAAGTGCTCATAGAGACTGTCTCTCAAAGACAGATAGTCATGCTTTGTAATGCCTGTCTTTTGTGTGAGAACTCAAGAGACAGTGATTGAAAGAAAAGTAGCAAAAGTGCCTCCTGGGGCTTTATTAATAAAGCAGGCTTCCCACGGTGTACTAGACCACCCAAATTGCCACAAGTTTCTCGCGTGTTTACCTGTTCTGCAATAATGGCGCATCTGGCTTCTGCGAGCATCCGTAGCCTGCAGCAGTAACAGTACTTGTGCTCTAGATTGTATTTTTTAATTTGTGTTGTGATTCTTAGTTACCCACAGCCTGATTTCTTTTAGGTCCAATTTAGTTTCTTTCAGGCCCAGAGGGGTTGTCAAGCTTTATGACTTGGTATAGTTGCTTTGAAAACGTGAGTGTATAATTAGATCTTTAAGATGAAGGAATACCTGCAAAGACTTGTCCCTAGAAGGGAGCAGTGTTCTGTGGGCCCTAGGAGTTTGAGATTGAGAGGTCTAACTCTGCCCATCACCATCTCCATTCCCCAGACCTTCAGTGTAATGCCCCTCTGGGAATGGAGTCTGGCCGAATTGCTAATGAACAGATCAGTGCATCATCTACCTACTCAGATGGGAGGTGGGCTCCTCAACAAAGCCGGCTTCATGGTGATGACAATGGATGGACGCCCAACTTGGATTCCAACAAGGAGTATCTCCAGGTATTAATTTAGATATCAGAGGATGTGTGTATTGATGGAGCAGGGAACTGGTTTCTCAGCTAGAGTGGAAGAAGAGCACAAAGAAGACAAACGCATGGTGTATAACAATTCCTGGACTCATTCATTCATTCATTCATTCATTCATTCATTTAAAAACCAAACAAACAATATGTGTGCCATATACAAATATGCTGTGCAAAATGCTGGGATGGAAGAATGATTACACCCATCTGCCCTTGTGGAGATTACCAGGCATTGGAGAAATTGTTTGGCCAGGAGATGCTGTTTGTCCTATCGCTATAGACAACCAAAGAACACTCTATAAACAGTCTCTGATCTTCTTTGCCCATTCTTGGCATAAGGGGGCATCAGAGATTGGCTGGGTAGGAGAAGCATTTTCCTAGGGGCAGGCTTGTTGGAGTGCCATCTGAGCATGGCAGTTCTTCCTGGTCCTTGCTATTTAAGGAAAACCTTACTAGGAAGGTCTTTTGCACATAGCTGTCAGAAAAACACATGGGAAAATGTCACTACCAAGAATGGAAGTCAAGTTGCCCAGATACTTTCCAGCATCTTTTCGGACTAGTGTTTGCTTCCTTCTGAATAAGACTTGCAGTTTGTGTTGGGTAAACTTCCTTTGCACTACAGACTGGTCCAGTTCTCTTCCCCTGGGAAGAAGTAAATAGGGGAAGAGCAAGCTGTTCGTTCCAAACTAGAGTAGCTACTGGTTTTATAGCACATGAAAGACAGCCTCATACCCCACTGACAAGTCTGTCCAAGCTCTGATGTGACATGGTGACTGACCTCTTCTTTAAAATGGACATCACAGGTCAGAAAACAGGAAAGAGAGAAAGACCACTTAGAAACTTCTGAGCATCTACAGAGGTTCTAATAGCACAGTCCTAAGGCTATTCATCTGTACCTCCCCCAAATCCTCCTCATCCTGTACATTTTCCAGAAAGTTCTCCTCTGTAATCGGGAGTACAGAGCTCACTGAGACATTCCACTGATTGCGTTCCTCTTCATGCACTTTTTCTTATTATACTAAGTTCTACCTGTTTCTCATGCATAAATAAGGTATTACATCTTCTCAAAGCTAAATAATGCTGAGCCGCATAGTAAGTAGACAGCAAGTATTTGCTGAATTGAATGTTACCAGTATCCTCTGGCTAAATTTTGGTCAAATTTTTAAGAAGCACTATGGTCAGCAAAGGAATGACATCCAGCAATTTCCAAATGGGTTTGGCAGGGTAGAGGAGGGTGTACCTCAAAATGTTGGCCATTCTCTTCATAGAGCAAAAGGTCAAGACTTGGTGCATATGCCTAATTGCTTGGGCAGACTCTGCTTGCCCTCTGACCCCTTAATGACCTGAACAACTAAAAATACAATAGAGTGAGGCTTGGAGGAGGGGTAAAAACCATGAGCTGTGTGGCTTTTGCAACTAGAGGATCATACATGAATTGGACTGGATTGAAGTGGAGTGGAGTGGATTGGATTTAGTCATTGTTCCTTGAAATCAGCATCTACTTTCACAATCCAGAGCAGGTCACAGTTTAGTAAGAAGAAAGCATAGTTGTAGTTGGTCAGTGATCACTCTGAGATAAAACTTAATACTGTCTGCTCAGATTTGCAAAAAAAAAAAAAGAAAAAGAAATCCAATTACACATTCAAGGTTTCCAATTTAGCATTAAATAAATTGAGTTTAATTGTTCAATAGAATCACAAATGGAGACTAATTACAAATACATACGAGTGAATCGCAGGCATAGATTGTGAGCTGAGTATTCCAGTTGTGCCCTTTGCAGAAAAAGCACGATGCTCACTTACCTCTCTCCCTCAGGTGGACCTGCGCTTTCTGACCATGCTCACAGCCATTGCCACGCAGGGAGCAATTTCCAGGGAGACCCAGAATGGGTACTATGTCAAATCCTACAAGCTAGAAGTCAGCACCAACGGTGAAGACTGGATGATGTACCGGCATGGCAAAAACCACAAGGTAAATCCACTTCCCCACCTCAAAGGCATGCTGAACCGGTGCACAGGGGTGGGGCCAGAGGAGCTTTAACTCAGCTCCACAAGAAAGAGGAGGCCCTGTTTGGTGAGGCTCAAATAATTGATGGAGGCAAAGGAGATGCTTGCCCTGCAAATATTCTTTCTTATGCTAAACTGATTGGAAAACACCATTTCTCCGACAGCCTGGCTGCTGTTGCCTCTCGCATGGCATTGAGAGAGAGCTTGCAGTGTGTTCTCTGACTACTAATGAAGGAGAAAATGCTTTCCCAGCCTGCGTCGCCCCATACAGGATTCATTGAGCGTTTATGGCCTGAGTCCCTTCCCCATGCTGGGCAAACAATCACAAAACCACATGAAGCTGCAGTTCAGGAGTTACCGAGGTCTAGAAATGAAAGGGCACAAATCCTCAGAGGGAATCACAGTGTCCCTGAGAAGACAGAGGACAATAAATAATGAGGAGAACTTCTGTGTGTCAGGGAGATGGGATCTGGCAATCACGCTTGGCAGCGAGGCATTGAACGCTCCCTGCTGGTGCCTTCAGTGTCTGCTGCTCCCAGAGGTGTGGTCCGTGTGGGTGATGTGGGTGTGTGTTGTACATATGGATGAATGTCTGGCTTTCTCAGCTTTCTGAAGACACCTGGCATTCTGACAGTGAGCAGACCTCTGACTGGGGCCGGCAGTGTGCTGGTTGTAAAGTACCCTTAGCTTGTTGTTAAGTGCTGTGGAGTCAGTTCTGACTCACAGTGACCCTGTGTATTGTTTCCAAGGAGCAGCTCGTGGGTTTGAACCACAGACCTTGCGGTTAGTAGTCCAGTGTTTATCCTATAGCGCTATACCAGGACTCCACCCTCAGCTTGTGGGGAGCTTATTGGAAACAGCAGAAGTTCTCACCTGGGTGAGGAGAACATCATGGCACGTGGATTCCCAGGCACCACACATCCTTCTGGGAAGAGCATTGGAAACAGAGGGGAGAGAAGTCACTCCTCGGTGTCACCGATCTACCTACCAAGACCCTGGTTGGCCATGGTGCGAATTACCAAGAAGGGAGCATGTGGCCAAGCCGGGCGCCTCCAGAGCTTCTGTCACTGCCCTTAACCAGCTTGCTCCTGGTGCAGCTGGAGACTGTGGACCCAGAAAATCCTCACTGACAGGGCTGGCACTATTCCACTCAGGGAACCATGAGTTTTGAAGAGTAGGGTTTTGTTTTGTTTTCATTAAAGTCACCATAGTAACCTGGCACGATTCATCTGAAAGTCAGGCTTTTAGATATTACCAGGTACTGAAGAAAGAATAAACAAAAACAAAAACAAAAAACACCCATTCTGCAGATGAAGAAAATGAAGTGCTCAACAATTAGAACCCCTCC